GGCGCCGCCGCCGGCCCCCCGGCACGGCCCCGTGCTGCGGTACTCGCCCTGCCCTGGTGCGTGCGGCCGGTCCTCACGTGGCGTGGGGATGACAGAGAGGGGCTGAGAGGGGGGCCGGGACCACCATGCACAGCGCGCGCCCTCCCCAGCGTGCTGCACACCCTCCCCACGTGGCCCTGTGCTTGGGTCCTGGCCAGGGGTCCCTGGGCAGGTTCCTGAGCAGCCCCATGCAGCTCCAGGCACAGGTCCCCATGCACAGGCCCCCAGGTGGCCCCATGCACCGGTCCCCATGCAGCTCCATGCACAGGTCCCCACGCACAGGCCCCCAGGTGGCCCCATGCACCGGTCCCCATGCAGCTCCATGCACAGGTCCCCATGCACAGGCCCCCGGGCGGCCCCATGCATACAGCCTCATGCACAGGTCCCCGGGTGGCCTTGTGCACAGGTCCCCATGCACAGGTCCCCATACGGCCTCATGCACAGGTCCCCATGCAGAGGTCTCCAGGTGGCCCCATGCACAGGTCCCCATGCAGCTCCAGGCACAGGTCTCCATATGGCCCCATGCACAGGTCCCCATGTGCATGTTCCCGGGTGGCCCCTGGCACAGGTCCCCATATGGCCTCATGCACAGGTCCCCATGCACATGTTTCCAGATGGCCCCATGCACAGGTCCCAGGCAGCTCCAGGCACAGGTCCCCATGCGCAGGTCCCTATACAGCCTCATGCACAGGTCCCCGGGTGGCCTTGTGCACAGGTCCCCATGCACAGGTCCCCATACGGCCTCATGCACAGGTCCCCATGCAGAGGTCTCCAGGTGGCCCCATGCACAGGTCCCCAGGCAGCCCGCGTGCGGGGCCCCGCACCACGGCCCACACCTGGTTCTCCACCAGCATGGCGATGTCGACGAACATATCGTGCAGCTCCTTGATGCTGCTCTCCAGCCGCACGATGTCCTTGTGCCGCCCCTCGATCTCGCTCAGCGCCTGCTTCGAGATCTGCGAGTCCATGATCTGCGACAGAGCCGGGGCCGGGGCGGGGGGTACATCAGAGGGGGGGTCCCTGGTGCCGGCGGGGGACTGGGGCCGTTCCCCCCCC